TTTCGTTGGTCGTTCAGAATCCTACTTCATCTTGTTTTTTTAAAATTTTTTATGTTCTTGTTTGTGTTGATTTTTAAAAATAATATTTATAGTATTTCTTTAGTTGCAATTGTGATACTTGTTGATTTTACACAAACAATAATTTTCTTGATTATTATTATCATTGTTATAACATTTATGAGACAGCATTGAATAGACATGCTGAAGGAATATCAACTATACTGATGACAAGTAAAACTAATACTAGTCTTGACACAAGTCCTTGTTCAAGAATCTGTGAGCTAAGAGTGTCCATCTTCCCTGCTATTCCTGTTCTTCCAGGCTGTTGTCAAGTTCATAATTATCATTGCATATCATAAGTCATAACATTAATTAATTGTTCGTTTTTTAAAATAAAATAAAATAACACATTTGATAAAACAGTAATGTAAAATCAATACCTTCTTTTAGCTGGAAACCTCCACTAAAGTATTGCAGCAAGTTGATTCCAAGCATAGCTTGGTAAAAAAATAACTTGCTTCTTCCAGAGCTGCAGATCTGAGCATGCGCGACCACACCCAAATTTTAGAGCACATGGCAAGCTTCTTTAATTAACAAAATGGCGGCATGCAGCTAAGATGGCTCGATCCAGCAGTCACAGTATCACTTTTTCCTTACTTGAAGAATGATCTGATGGGACATGGACCTGCGCATAGACTGTTGGAGTAGATTGGTGTAAGAATTATTCTTGTAGCACCAACTGATACTGAGATACACACCGACAACTGGATTGACAGGACTTGATGATGAAGAAGATGATGATGAAGATGAAAAAAGGTGGCTGAACAAAACGGCCAGTTCGCCGATTTTTGACTTTTCGCTTAGACAAGGTCTAGAGCCACGCCAGTTGCACCATTGGAGTCCTCTGGTCAAGATAAGGTCCTCTATAAAGTCTGGTAAGCATAGGAGTTCGTTTTCCAGTTATAGCAAGGCTGCAAAAGTCGTGGCAGCCATTTTGTTTGGGGGTGAATCCTACTTAGTAACGCTACCGCGTTACTAATACAATGCGGGGGGCTGAATTCAATCTTAGAAATGACCTTGGGGCGAAGCCTCAAGGTCGTACTTCGCCTCAAGGTCGTAACAAGGTGGTAACAAGGTCGTCAAAATTAATGTAAATAATAGTAGACATTATGACTTACTTCCTATTGTGTGACCAAGACAACAGATTAATTATTTTTGATTCATATCAGAGAGAAAGACAGATTAAAAGATACAATGTAAATAATAGTACACATTATGACTTACGAACTATTGTGTGACCAAGACAACAGATTAATTATTGTTGATTGATATCAGAGAGAAAGACAGATTAAAGATAAAATGTAAATAATAGTACACATTATGACTTACTTCCTATTGTGTGACCAAGAAAACAGTTTAATTATTGTTGATTAATATCAGAGAGAAAGACAGATTAAAAGATAAAATGTAAATAATAGTACACATTATGACTTACTCTCTATTGTGTGACCAAGACAACAGATTAATTATTGTTGATTGATATCAGAGAGAAAGACAGATTAAAAGATAAAATGTAAATAATAGTACACATTATGACTTACTCTCTATTGTGTGACCAAGACAACAGATTAATTATTGTTGATTGATATCAGAGAGAAAGACAGATTAAAGATAAAATGTAAATAATAGTACACATTATGACTTACTTCCTATTGTGTGACCAATACAACAGATTAATTATTGTTGATTAATATCAGAGAGAAAGACAGATTAAAAGATAAAATGTAAATAATAGTACACATTATGACTTACTCTCTATTGTGTGACCAAGACAACAGATTAATTATTGTTGATTGATATCAGAGAGAAAGACAGATTAAAGATAAAATGTAAATAATAGTACACATTATGGCTTACTGCCTATTGTGTGACCAAGACAACAGATTAATTATTGTTGATTGATATCAGAGAGAAAGACGGATTAAAAGATAAAATGTAAATAATAGTACACATTATGACTTACTCTCTATTGTGTGACCAAGACAACAGATTAATTATTGTTGATTAATATCAGAGAGAAAGACAGATTAAAAGATAAAATGTAAATAATAGTACACATTATGACTTACTGTCTATTGTGTGACCAAGACAACAGATTAATTATTGTTGATTAATATCAGAGAGAAAGACGGATTAAAAGATAAAATGTAAATAATAGTACACATTATGACTTACTTCCTATTGTGTGACCAAGACAACAGATTAATTATTGTTGATTGATATCAGAGAAAAAGACAGATTAAAAGATAAAATGTAAATAATAGTACACTTTATGACTTACTCTCTATTGTGTGACCAAGACAACAATTGATTGATATCA